TATTGGAAATAAAAATAAAAGTAAACACTGTGTTGCTTTGTAATGGAATCCATTATGTTGGCACCAATTCTGTCCACTAGGGGTCGACGTGGCATCACAGCTGTCTTTCAAATCTACCTGTGAATATATCGCCCTCTAGTGGAGTACTGGAAACATCTCATCCTTTTCCTGGAGAAACCCCACTTGCTTTGCTGTATCCCAATTCATCTACTTATTCTGTACACTAAAAGTATGCACTCTATATGAAGGGAAAAGTACATACTTTTGAGTGTGTAGCAAAAGAGTATGCAAATACTGGGACATACGAACTAACACGTCACGTAACGGATCAGAACGTTGTTGCCTAGTTACGTACACTGTCGCCATGAACACGCTCCTCGTTGTATTTCAGCTCATTTCAATGTACTACGGTATATTTGGGACACACTCATTCTAATCTCATTGATGTGTGTGTGTGTGTGTGTGTGTGTGTGGTTGTGTGTGTGGTTGTCTGAGATTGAGAAAGAGAAAACATACCAGTGGGAGAGATGGGCACACCAAATTTGTGAGGCCCCCTGGCGGCCTCTAAGGGGGCCGCGGCCCCCACTTTGAAAACCACTGCATTAGCTGATTAGTTTTTATCAGAAAATAGCTGCATGTTGATGTGAGGCTGCCAAATTCTCGTTCAGTAAATGAAACCATTAGTACAGAGATATTGAAAACAATATAAAATATTTATATTAACATATTGATAATGCCATATAACCTAAACACCACCTTATAACACCTCGAATGAACCTAATTTAGCCTCGGTTCATTTATTAATGTTGTAACGCAATGCCACTATCTGTATCTTTTAATACTTCATATATTCATGTCTCTGTCTGTATTCAGATTTCAACCAGAAGTGGGTGTGGCCTAAACCATAATGTGGGATGTTTTATATATATTTATTTATTTGTTTCTTTATTCTAATTGAATATGAACCCTACTCCAGTTCTCCTCTCCTCAGCACCTGCAGCTACTATTTTTGATGGTACCCGTCTGCGACATTTAGGAACTCGGCCTAATTTAAACCAAGCAGTTACTAAGCAGTCACAACTTGAACCCCGTAGAAGATCTCTGGTGGGATCTGAAGAAGGCGGTTGCAGCACGCAAACCCAAGAATATTACTGAACTGGAGGCCATTGCTCATGAGGAATGGGATGAGATTCCTCAGGAACGCTGCCAGAAGCTGGTCTCTGGTTGTGCATCTCGTTTGCAGCAGGTCATGACAGCAAAATCGTGCTCTGCTAAGTACTAAAGATGCTCGCCATGAAGGGGTTGAATAATTTTGAAACGAGAGAAATCATTATAAGTTGCATTTTCAGTTGAATTTGGGGAAAACGCTCGGAGCATTCGTTGTGTTGAACAGCTGTATCTGTTTAGAACACATTACCTGTTCAATCTGAAGAATGTATTCATATTCATTTATATCCATACAGCCTGCATATTCCACGCAAAAAAAAAACCCCAAGAAAACATTCTTACTCTGATCTTTCTCCTTGAATCAAGTGTGTTGGAGCAGAAAAGCTGAAATGTCCAGGACAGGAGGTTCTCCAGGACCAGGGTCGGTGACCCGTGTCTTAATTAGTAAAAATGACGTTCAGTGATTTGAAGATAACACTATTATGATATTAATAATCAGACCGACTGTCTAGCCCGTAACCTTTTTGTGTTGTTGGTGCTCAACTTTGATATTTTGTCATTTCTTTACAGCCTGCAACAGCTGCCTTGAGACATGCATACAGCTGGAATGTACGGTTTCTTTTTTCTGTTTTCGCTTTGGATGCAAAACTAAACTAAACTAAAGCCAGCTCCACCATTTTAAACACACAGAGAGAGAGAGAGAGAGAGAGAGAGGTTACTGAGGATGAGGAAACCCAAGAACCCAGAGGAAACCCAAGGGAAATGAAAAAAAAGACAAGAACCTGAGCTCAGGATTGAAGAATGGGCTCTTCGCCTAAATTATATACAGTAAACGTGCACATTAAAATAATATTTTGAAGAATCACTAGTGCCGTCAAGCTTTTTTTTCCATAAACGTAATTAGTTTTTATGATATTTTATTTTTATTCCTGACGTTTTTATTAGAATTGTAATTAGATCCAATTTAACAACTTTTAACAAAGTTTTTGAGTGAATCCGTTAGATTCAAGTGACCAATCAGGCTTGCGTATAACTGTAATGGATATAAATAACTCGATGGATGCAGTCTAAGAGTGGGATGTGTAACAAACATGTCGAAATCACAGACCCCCTGCTGTCCCCGCTATGAAAACCTTTACCTCAGATGCCTCGTCTACGTCCGTCTCAGCTTCCTACCTGAACTGAGTTTGGTTCCGTCAGCAGTAAGCCCACCTTTGATTCAAAATAGCCGTTCGAATATACCGGTGTTAATCTGAGGATTTGAGTGCAGGTCTGTGGATGTGTAAATAAACACAGAGGGGACTGTTTGAAATAGCCCTTCACGGTTTGAGAAGCCCACCACGTCTACCCGTTTGTGGTTCACGCTGACTGTTTTTATCCAAATCCGTCCTGTCTGCACCTTATCCTGTAAACATATCTTCTCCTTCAGAACCCTGCTGGCTCGGTTACCGCTCACCTCGAGTAAATTCGAGTAGCCGACATCTGTGTTAATGTATTTAGCTTAAACCTGGGCAAATATTTTGTTGGAGTCCAACTGCGTAGCTGGAGAAGAACAAGAGCATTGTCCTTCTCTGAGGAGTAAACGCACCTCCTAAGGTAGCGCTAATGTTAATAGGCTGCACCAAATAATGAAACGGTTGATAGTAGGCCGTGTCAGTTGTACTATTTATGTCTTGAAAGTGTGTAGCCATTTAGAATTTCTTTGAAGGTGGTTTTTGTGGAGGGGCTGAACACACACTCCTCCCTTCCTCTTCTCTCTCTCTCTCTCTCTCTCTCTCTGTCTCTCTCTTTTGGAGCCCTCTCACCCTCTCATTCAGAGCTCTGAGGTTGTACGTCACTGTCTGTGTAGCTATAAACACTCTCCTGCATCCCTCCTTCCATCCCACTGCACGTCTGCACAGTGACTTGTGTTCATGATGAGCACAGCTAGTCTAATCTTTTAGTTACTGTTCTGGGAAGGTGCAGTGATCTGAGTGTCCCTAACAAGAGGTGAGTAAAATGAGTGTTTACTACTGAGCTTAATTTATCTCAGAAAACGTACGGTTGGTTCTCAGTGGAAGTTTCACGAACGTGCAGAAGAGTAGTGATGAGTTAGAAATAAAGGAAATCAAATGTAAACACTTTTTTTTGTTTTCTCACAGCTTCTAGCATACCTGAACCAGGCAATCAAGAACTACCTGGTACAGGTGTCTGGGGCACCCTGAGATACCGCTTTACATCCGCATTACCATTTTAAATGTAGGGATTCATCTCAGTTTCCATTTCCAGATTGATGAATATGATGGTTTCATTTTTACATGGTTTTAAAGACTGAGCTTTCGAGGTAATACCAGTCCATGACTCATGTCTGTCCTTTCACATACAGGAATTCTTTCCTTTTGCCAGGCCCAGTTTTGATGTCCCATTGAACTATAATGAGGAAATGTTATTTGGGATCGCTAATTGTCTGTCTATTCCTGACCCACACCAAAGGACATGATCAGGAGGACAGTCAAGCTGGTTTGTTATTATATTGCTTTTCCTTTGCTATACTTTCGTGTCATTACCGAGATCTTATCAATGTTGGCCAACTGCTACAGCAATGTCCATATTACTGCTATGTTTCCTTGTCGGTTAAATTCTCGATTGAATTTTTGCACTGTTGGTATGTGATTTGAGAGTATACTTTGCTTGAATTGTTTGCCCTGATCTTCTTTGGAAACGTATTGCACTATACATATACACCTGGGGAAAAAGGTTTTCTTGGACTTGCAGGTTGTAGCACCACATCCAATGACTTGGTGTACATCATCGATGGCTCGTCGAGTCTCGGGATTGCGGACTTCAACACAGCTAAGCGCTGGCTTGTTAACATCACCAGTGGCTTTGATGTGAGCTCCCGACACACTCAGGTGGCTGTGGTCCAGTACAGTGATACGCCACGTCTGGAGATCCCTCTCGGGAAGCACCAGGACACCCAGACCCTTCTGAGGGACATCGCTGCAATCTCCTACCTTGGTGGCAAAACCCAGACAGGCCGTGCTATTAAGTTCGCCACTGACCATGTGTTCTCTGTGGTAAACCACGCCACGAAGACCAAAAGGAACCGTATTGCCGTGGTTCTGACCGACGGACGGTCACAAGACGATGTGGTGGATCCAGCAATGGAGGCCAAAGCACAGAACATTGTCCTGTTTGCTGTGGGCGTGGGAGATGAGATTACCAATGCTGAGCTGGTGTCCATGGCCAACAAGCCTTCTTCTACGTACGTGCTGCATGTGGAGGACTACACCTCCATTGGGAATATAAGGGATGTGATGGAGCAGAAACTCTGTGAGGGTGAGTCAAGCTCCACTGGGTCATTTCAGAAAGAGACGACCAACAATTGGGTTGTTTCTGGCTTCAAGGGTTACTGAGGCCCGACACCATCTAATCGTGAGGGTGAGCTGTTGAGGATGATTTGGAAATGATGGCACCCTCCTCAAACACTGTTTAGGGATGTGTGTTTGGATGAAGAGGGTGATGAAAGACTGATGATGAATGATTTTTATTTTATGTCTTCTTATGTTGACACATATCTTCATGAAGTGCAGCAATTACCTTAATAGCTTTAAGAGCACAGTGAAGTTAATTCATTTCAAATTATAGTATTTTACACCCTTTTTCTTAGGTTAGGACTTTTCGATTCATTATTCTGGGGCAGTCTTCCGGCCCAAATGCTGTGTTTTGGTTTAGCTCCTCATGTACCTGAACCAGGAGCTCAAGGGCTTTCAGTCTTTCGGTTCTCTGGTTAAAAACCTAGTTGATCTGGATTGAGAACCTATTTTAGGTAATCAGTTACACCAACTACAGCGGCAGTGATGGCTCAGTGGTTAAGGCTCTGGGTTACTGTGCAGAAGGTCAGGAGATCAATCCCCAGTCACTGTTAGTGTTCTTATGTTCTATTTACTCCAGGCGAGCCCTATCGTGGCTGACCCTGTGCTCAGAACTGCAACTTCCTGGAATATGCAAAGCATTGACGTTTATTATACTGTAAAACATATGTTACAAATCTACATCCTTCTTGTTCTAAGCTACCCCACAACTGTGACGTAGCTAATCTCATTGGTCTCATTCCCAGAGTCGGTGTGTCCTGTGAGGATCCCTGGTACTGTCAATGGGCAGAAGGGCTTCGACCTGATAAGTATGATGGGGATCGAGGTAGTGGCTAAAAAGGTCCAGGGATCTCTCGTATCAGAAAGTGCTTACCTCCTAAACTCTCGCTTGAACCTTACTCGCAGCACCAGGTACCAGGCAGTATACTCGACTTATAGAATTGTCTATGTATGGTTAATGCAGATTAATCTGCTTAGCCATATTGACTCAAATTGACCTTGACCTTCATATTTGATGCATCTGATTATTTCGCAGAGGGATCTTTCCAGAAGGCCTGCCTCCTTCGTATGTATTTGTGGCCACTCTGCAGGTGAAGAACCCAGTCCACCGCATGAAGTTTGACCTCTGGAGGGTGCTGTCTGAAGAAGGTGTCAGGCAAGTCGCAGTGACCTTGAATGGCCTAGACAAGTCGGTTACCTTTACCAGTACCAGCACGATGAAGAAAGAGCAGACTGTCATATTTAATGACCGAGGCATTAAGGTCTGTCAGATTTCACAAAAAAATCCGAGCCCCTTTTTTATGTGACCTGGTATGCAACTCGACTCACTCTTGTGTTCTATCCACTGAAGAGGCTCTTTGACACAGACTGGCACCAGCTGAAGTTGTTGGTGAGGCCCAAACGCGTCACCTGTTTTGTAGATGATGTATATGTCGAGGAGCAGCTCTTGGAAGAAGCTGTCCCCATCTACATCAACGGGAAGACCCAAGTGGCCAAAAAAGTCAACATAGAAACCACTGTACCAGTAGGTGGCCTCATGAATAGCAGTTTAGAACACCACAAATCTCTATGCACTAACCTAATTGTTTATCCAAATGGAGCTGGACCAAATGGACTGTGTATTCCAGTGGTAGCTATTTTGCTACTGTAACTTATTTATACATTTGCGTAGTCCCTAATTAATAATATGCTAATAAGTTTAAACCAGGGGTTCTCAACTCAAGTCCTAGGGATTCTCTGCTTTCCTGCAGGAAAGTTTTTCTTACTGCTCAAAGACTTAATGATTAGCTAACGCAGGTCAGGTGGTCCCCAGGACAGAAGATGAGATCCCCTGATTTAAGAAAACTGCTAAAAAGGTAGCCAGGTCAATCGAGATCAGCTTGTACTTTCATTCCCTGCTTCCACTGATTGTTAGCCCCATTAGCCTTTAAGCTAAGCTTGCAGTGTCCATGTCTCCCGTTCAGATCGTCTTGCAGAAGCTGCGGCTCTACTGTGACCCTCTGCAGAGCGAACGAGAGACAGCGTGTGAGATCTACTCTGCAGTAAGACCATGCTCACTGTTTACCTACAGCATTTGGCACCTACAATTTTCTTCACTTTCTAACTTCTCCTTACGTCTTTTTTACAGGAGGATGACAGGGTGAGTCTCCAGTCTATGTATATATGAATTTTATAAGGAGAGTTTTGGTTGTTGTTTTTTAATCCAGTCACGACGTTTTTTAGTGTCCTACTGACCGTTCTCGTGCCATGGAGGGCTGTGATTGCCCCAGTGGTAAACCTGGTCCACCAGGCCTACCTGGACCAATGGTGAGTCATTAATTAAACTGAATGGATTAATATATTCATAGTTCATGTAAGGATGGAGCTGCGGTCTTAATCATTGTGTAGTTTAGAAAATCCTGATCAGACTTGAACTTCTGCGCTAAATACAGGGCTTCAGGGGAGAGAAGGGTCGAGAGGGACCTCCTGGCCCAGACGGAAAACCTGTGAGTGGCTCATTCATGTCATATTTAGCACCTTCAGTAGTAGCTAGGACTGTTTCCGTGGTTATTTTTGTGCAAGTCACTAAGGTGAACAAATCAGTATCAGTCACTGCCATGCACGAGTCATTCAACAAAACCGAAGCATGGAAGTCATTTCCATAGATAGCCGAATTTATGATTGTCAAACAGAGATATTATGTAGGTCTCCATTATATGTTCATTCACAAAATGTTTCATGAATTCTGTTCCCAGTCATTTAGCCCAGGCTGGAATTTATTTTTTAGTAGTAGATGAAGTTAGGCTGGATATCTGTCTTATGCACACATACAAGCATTTTATAAAATAACAATGATTATTAGCTGTTTGACATTATTCAAACTGTTATGGATCGGTGAATGAATATGAACGGATCGGTTAAAATAAAAGAATCTCTTGTAGTAATAATATACTTAAAGCGGAATATAATTTTAGCACTGTAATACTAGTGGATGGTGGAGAATCGAAATGAATAAAGCTTAAATAAAGTTTGGATCTGCATCACATGGTCTCTGTGTTAAGGGAAAGCTGGGAGAGAGGGGTCCTCTTGGGCATCCTGGAAGAGACGGTGAGAAAGTGAGTGATGTTGTAATAATAATAATACTACTACTACTATTAATAATAAGAATAAAAAAAAACAATTCGTTTGATAGTTGAGGTGTAAAAATGCCCAAACGAATCAGCTAACACTGATTCTATGAAAGCTGGTAGATATTCTCTAGTGGTGTCTCTAGTCCCTTTAATGCTTCCTTGTCCATTTCCAGGGCGAAGCAGGTCAACCAGGACAAAAGGGGGAGAGAGGACTAGCTGGTCCCAAAGTAAGTCTTATAATCATTCTGTAAAGATAGCCTAAGCTGCCCAAATTAGCCATGTAACGGCTTTAAATTAGCAGTGTACCTATATTAAGAAGTGACATGTAGGTTTATAGCCGAGAGATTTGGAACACACCTTTGATACGTATTATGTTTTTTTTAAATCAATATTTGTATGCATATTGCTGATTATGATGTATACCTCTTTCCACAGGGTGATGTGGGACTCCAAGGGCCACCAGGACGGCCGGGCCCTCCAGGACCAACAGTAAGGCTAATCTTAATTCTGTATTCTGCTAATCTTAATTCTGTGTGTGTGTGTATGTGTGGATGTGTGGATGTGTGTATATATATATATATATACGCACACACACACACACATACAGATTTCCAGAACTAACTTTCATTATACTATATTGTTGCTTGTTATTCTTATTGCCTTAGCGCTATACAAACAAGAAATCAAAACACAAAGTAAAACCTCTCATGCAAATAATTAGCACGCTCATAAACAAACTCCAAGCAAACATCACAAAAGGCATGTAGCTAATGTATGAGATTAGCTAACTGAGATTTGCTAAGTAAACCAGTTCATTAGATATTCACTGTAATGTACTGATTTTCAGACTTTCAGAAGCTCCGATTTCACAAGTTGTGACACAATGTTAACATTTCTCAATATGCGGGAAACCTGAGAAATCTAGCGTTGAAGTTGGTGCTGAGTGTAATTATAGTGTCATTTTAGCTGTAAGAAGTCTAAGTCATTTACCAACACATGTGAGGGATATACGCCTTCGCAGTGTCCTTATAAGGGTTAATAGCTTATGTGCTGGCTAGATAAATCATTAGCTTCAATCATTAGCTACAGTCGGCTACTGCTCTGTGTCCATATTTCCCAGATGCATAGCAACGGTATTTTTACAACTTAATCCACTTCAGTGGCCTATGTATTGTGTACTGTATTTGACTTCCGTTTCCATTTTGCTGCACTATTATACAGTATGTCAGAGCAACTTACTGTCAGAAAAAGTAGCATATGGATTGCTACTTAGCATGTACAGTATACCAATTAACACACGTTGATTTTTTAGGGCCCTGGACTCTCGAAGTGGAATGATTATGATGTAGAAGCAAGCAAGGTACGATTTTATACATCACATCATGGGGAAACAGTTACGATGTTATTCCGCCCTCACTGATCTAGCTGAGTGTGTTAACTCACAGGGAATCCCAAGGAAGCAAGGGGAAATAGGACCGCCAGGGAAACCTGGACCACAGGTGAGTCATCGTCTGAACTCAAAAAGCTGATTCTTAAAAGGTTAACTCCTTTTGGATGGCTGGCTTTGGTTATACAGTATATTGTTATATGGTCATTTGCCATTTTACCATGGCTTATATAGTTTAACTATGTTTTATCATGGCTACTATGGTTTCACTGTGGTTTTAGCAAGACTACTATGGATTAACTGTGGATTTACAATCCTTACAATGGTTGTACCAAGACTACAATGGTTTAACTCTGGTTTTACCATGGGTACTATGGTTTACCTGTGGCTTTAGCGAGGTTACTATGGTTTAACTCTGGCTTTTCCATGGTTACTATGGTTTAACTCTGGCTTTAGCAAGGCTACTACGGTTTAACTATGGTTTTACTATGGCTACTATAGTTTAACTCTGGCTTTAGCAAGGCTACTATGGTTTAACTCTGGTTTTACCATGGGTACTAGGGGTTAACTCTGGTTTTACCATGGGTACTATGGTTTAACTCTGGCTTTAGCAAGACTACTATGGTTTAACTCTGGTTTTACCATGGGTAATATGGTTTAACTCTGGTTTTACCATGGGTACTATGATTTAACTCTGGTTTTACCATGGGTACTATGATTTAACTCTGGTTTTACCATGGGTACTATGGTTTAGCTCTGGTTTTACCATGGGTACTATGGTTTAACTCTGGCTTTAGCAAGGCTGCTATGGTTTAGCTCTGGTTTTACCATGGGTACTATGGTTTAACTCTGGCTTTAGCGAGGCTGCTATGGTTTAAGTCTGGTTTTACCATGGCTACTAGGGTTTAACCGTGGTTTTACAATGGCTACTATGGTTTACCTGTGGTTTTACCATGGCTACTATGGTTTAACTATGGATTTACCAAGACTACTATGGTTTAACTGTGGTTTTAACATGGTTACTATGATTTACCTATAGTTTTACAATGGTTACTA